ATGATTATAAATGAAAAAAAATTGGAACCAAAAAAGGTTTGGCCAGGTTGGTTGTCCAGATTGGAGCCAAAACAGTAAACTCTAGTGCTTTACTGCGTGCGATGTGGGCTGGTGAATGCCCCAATCAACAGCTCTTTGAAGCCATCTGGAAAGCAATTTTTCCAAAATTTTCATTCATAATCATTTTTCTAATATCCCAATCTTCCTTTCTCTCAGCACTCTCAATCCCCAAAAATGAATTTCAAAGCTTTTGAGAAAAATAAATTTTATTTGTTATTTTTCACAAATTTTGAAACTTTGTTTTTTAATTCATATTCATTCTCCGGGACCTATTCTGCACCACTTCAACAATTCTTGTGACTTCAAGTTTGTGCTTTGAAGCTCTGGAATACAAAACAAGCAGCCAAAAATAATGGTCCACCCACTGTACATGATCAGCAGGAGACTCATAGTACTCAATGATGGCTCAACCCCAACCCTCACCTACAACCATGACACTATTTTCCAAATTCCTTGTCAAGGTAAAGCCAGTCCAGAAACAACCAACAGAACCGCCGCTGTCAGACTCGGCCATGTGGTAGAAAGAGCAGAAGTAATGGTGTCTGATGGCAAAACCGGCACTTGATTGGATGTCATTGTTGCACACAACGATTGGGATGCTATTTTGAGTTAAACCTGCAAGTTGGCATGAATAGACACTGAATTCACTTTAGGCAAGGACTCACCGGCAATTCCTTGTTAAATACATAATCCCTGGGTCCAAAAACTTGATCAAAACTCACAGTTTGTTTCAAGCCGGTTGGGAGCTTCAGCTCCTCAGCCATCTGGTTGACTTTGAGTTAGAGCGCAACATGGCTGTTTTTGCAGTGATTTTCAGTTATTATCAATATTATCTCAAACTAACCAGATGTACCAGGTCCATTCTGTCAGCCCGACCTCCGGACACCAAACAAACCGTTCTTCAGCTGGGGCATCGTTGTCAAGTAGTGGATCCGCTCGAAATGGCCGCAAGTTGTACGCGTGAATCATATATCCACTTAGATTTGTGCTGGCACAGTGTCAAGTTTGGTTCCCAACCGGCTCATCCTGCAGGTGAACCCCTTCCCCGCCGCGTTGACGAAGGAGAACCATCCAGATCGTCGAGCTCCAACCTAAACAAGGGTAAAGGTAGAGCTACAGCTGAAGTCGACCTCAATGTAACTACGTCTGAGGAAGAAACCCCTCTCCAGGCTCAGTCGTCCTTGCCAAGTGCGGCCCCCGTCACCAGCAAAAAAGGCCAACCCCGCATGAACATACTGAACTAAGCTGCAAAAAGGATGAAGCAAGCTTGATTCCTTTGAGAAGCGTCCAGCTCTGTTTCAGCCTACATAAACCCCAACCTTTCAATTACGCATGACTTGCAGTTGTACAACACATACATGAACTCACCGCATAACTCAACTGTTATAGTTTCCAATTCTCAGATAGTCTCTGGCCTGTGTTGAATATTGGTTAAAACGTGATCCTACGTTGTTGTGTATTTCCAACCCAATGGGTTATCACACTTGTAGCAAGGATGTAACAGATCCGATCCCCGATAAATACCGATCCGGGGATCGGATTGCTTACAGTTTGGATGATACCCAATTGTAAGGCATACAGCCCGCAGCTTTTGGGTGCCAGATTGGGATTGCAATGCGATCCCGATCCCGATCTGATACCATTTCGATACGATACCATGGGATCGGATCACCCTTAGCAATCTGATCCCTTATTTTTTGATGCCTGGTATCAAAAAATCGATCCGATCCCTTATTTTTCAATACCTGGTATCAAAAAATCGATCCGATCCGATAAATCGGCCAATACCGTATCGGATTGGATCTGTTTCACCGTTGCTTGTAATAACATAATTGTTTGCCACTCGCCTCGCTGGATTTTTTAACCCTTAGATGGGTGGTATTTTTGTTGGGGTGCTCCTAGGAGAAGCTTTGAACGCTTCCCTGTTGTTAAGATCTGAGAAAGAGATAAGCACAATATGCGATGGGAATTCAGAGCAGGCAAGATGATTGTTGCCTCCACATACCTCTTTGTCTGGAATCCATACGCCGAGCCTGTCAAGGTCTCAAAAAATGCATGCGTGACCAACCACCGATGTCAATTTCACAATTGATCACGTGAACTCCGGTATTCTGTAGCCTTGAAATCATCCTTGGTCCAATCGCACCTTTGCCTCCAATATCACAAATGTATATGACAAAGGTCCTACGACCCAAGCATGAGAATTTTCAGTGGCATCTCAGAGTAGCCAGGGTGATAAAGTTAGAGAGGTTTTTGACGGTAGGT